TTTACAGTTATCTGATAGGATTATTCCCAACCGTCAACCCGCTCTGTGCCCACGTGGGGACAGATGAGAATAAAAAGTTTCCCACCTTTTAATCTCACTAAAACCAATAAGGACAGATCGACAGGTTAAAAAATAAGATAAGTTTCAGCCGTCCACTCGTCTCAAAAGGTGGGACGGATTAAAATCCGTATAAATACTCCGTATAAATAATCCGAGTATAAATACTCATCTGACCCCACGTGGGTACATAGCGGGGTGACGGTTGGGAAAACAATCGAATGTGTAAAATATGTTATTATATCGTATTTGATCCTTTTTATGACAGTGACGACATTTTTAAGCTATGAGCCTCTATCAGCTTGTGGTGGAACAGGCTCTTAAATTTTAAATGTCCTTAAAAACTAACTATTACAAGTAACTTTTGGAGTTAAAAGTCGAAACAAAAACCTATTGAAAGCTTACTAAAGGGCTCGTCTGGGTGTCATTTGTTGGAGATAAAAAGTATTTAATAATCTCATGACTTTTATGACATCAATTTTTATCATAAAGATATCTACAAGATATGTAATCTATATCCTAATCATTAATTATATTACCTATTATTAAGATAAAATACCAAGGATAAATAGTAATAAAATAATACAAGCGATATTTTCGAAGTTAGTAATAGTTGTAATAATAACTCACTTCGGATTTCGCATAATTTAATAATTTAACATTTGTTCAAAAAAAATAATTCTTTTTTTTATAATATAAGATGGCAAACAAGCAAGCGGCCACCTGAATCCCCCGAAACATCCGCGTTGCAGTTGCAATTGCAGATGCGTTGTCTACTTTAAAAGACGGAAGAGGAGACGCACACAAAGAGGATATTTCCCCTTCACAGACGTCTCCTCCATCGCCTAATCCACTTTTCCTTTCTATTCTCTTAAGAAAAGGGTGGAAAGGAAAAGTGACAAAAATTAGGCTACCGGCACCACACTCATCAGACGAAACGCGGAATTGCTTCCACTTCACCCCTGTTTTCTGTGTGGTCGTGGTATTACACCGGGCGAGCCGGCCAATTCGTGCGAAGATGTTAAAGCGGGCACTACCACTGTTAAATTCACTACCAAATATTCACTACGAAAATTCATTACCACAACAAATTATCACAACCAAAAGATCTTATGTAACTACTAACGGAAATTTCGAAAGTCTAAGTACCTAATAATAAAAGAACAATGAGACCAAGAAGTGAGATCAGTCTTTCAGGCGCGTCTCTGGTGTCGAGGTACAAGAAGACGGCGACCGCGGCCAGCACGCACACACAGAAACACCAGCGGAACCATCTGCAACAAACATGTTTCACACTAAATAAATACAGATGTATTAAAAACTATTCAAAAATACAGAGATAAGTAACTAGATGGAGGTAAATGTTGTAAAGATGAAACGGACAAATCCAAAAACGTATTTTTTCCGATTTTAACTTTACCATCAATGCAGAAAAACCAACTGTGTAACAACAACTTTTAATAGGCTCGTTTATTCTTCATAAATATTAGCACTTACATCATTTTCCAAAGACAATATGATATCGTCTCCACTCGCGTCCAGACCACCTTTTCAAACCACTCTCCGAAGTACCTCTTCACAACAAGGAAGTAAATCACGAAGAAGTATACTATACTAAGGAAGGCTATTAGACTTCCAAATCCATGGCAAAGTTCTAAAGGCTTGTTGCCTGTAAGACAAAAGATAAACATTAGACGTTTCTTTAATAAGAATACAGTCAAAGCATTAGATTAGCCTGGTATGGGTTTTGAGGAGGTAAGAATCGCATGTAACCAGGGACCACTAGGTATGAGTGTGGTACACCGGTAGAGGTAGACGTAGAAAGAGATGGATTGCGTGAAAGGTGACATGATTAAAAGGAGTAATGACTGAGATGGCGCATGATAGAGTTTTGTTTTTTTTATAACATAAGGTGGCAAATGAGCAATCGGCCACCTGAATCCGCCAAAATAGCGAAGCGACCGCTGCCCATAGACATCCGCAATTGCAGATGCGTTGCCTACCCTTATACGACGGAGGAGGAGACGCACATAAAGAGAATATTTCCCCTTCCTATGCATCTCCTCTACAGTCAAATCCACTTCCCCTTCGCATCCTCTCCTTATAGAAAAGGGTGGTAAAGAGAAAGGAAATTATGTTAGGCCTGTAGAGGACAAAATCCTGATGCCACTATGGGAGTAGGATAAGGAGGAAGATTATATAGTATAATATCCCACAATGGGTAGACTAAACCTTCAATACGTACTATGGTTCATCCAGTAATATAGACATCCGAAAAAGAAGCCAACAACGAGACCGTTTAGCACAAATATGGCTATAGTCTTCATTGCGGAGCTGTTCTTCTTGAGGAAGTCCTCGGTGGAGCTACCGGCCTTGGACAGCGTCAGCTCGAACCAACCACTTGGCTCATAATCCAACTTCTCGTGGATTATCTGAAGAGAAATAAAAAAAGAGTTAAAAAACCTTAATAGTTATAAATTAAGCACATTGTTCAGAATGATTCCGATTTCAATAAAACACGATCACAAGACAATCATAATTTAAAAAGTAATTGTAATTTAAAGGAAGTATTGAACGAATTCTCAACCGGCAATGAATGTTACCTTGTTGAAGTCCAAATTATAAGAGAACATTTTGAAAGTAAATCAACGTGTTTCCTTGACATTTTAATTGTTAATTTTAAATCAATATCTAACGACTTATTATAGCTTTCTGTGTTTATACTCTTAACCATGCTGTCATATTAATTTATATTACTCACCGCTCCATTAGGGTCTGCTTCCTCTTTTTTCTGCATTTCATCCATCTCGACGAATGTTCCATCTGTTGTCTATAAACGATGTTATTTATTATTTTTGATCATTTATTGTAATCCAATATCAGTCAATAAAATCAGTGAGATTTTAATATCTACGTATAAATCTAGTAGGTTTCATTTATTTGAAAAAAAAACACCTAAACTACATCAAAATCCACAGTTTGTTTTTTGACATAGTATTTTATCTTGGCTAAATATTCAAACCCAAAAATCTATTTAAAAAGACACAAAAATACCTTGAACACAACTATATACAATAATAGGAACACAAAGTCTAAAGTAATATTTAAAACATAAATTTCTACTAAATATTAACTTTGTTCAGTTAAATTTAATTTTGACTACAACACCTTTTTACTCCAACATACGCACTCTAGTAAAAGGCGACAGCGGAATGCGCACGCACACACCACAGCTATTCTGTTAGTAAATAAGTGGAATAAGGGTGTGAACACACTATCCATGACCATTTATTTTAACAATCTTAATTATAATCGTTGATATCTTATCTAACAAATATCGCTTTGAGCATTTGAATGTCTACCACATTGAATGTCCGACCCTAAAAAACTAAGGGCCTGTCCCACCACTGGCTGATAGAGGTTTAGATAACTTAAAAAGGAGGTCACTGTCAGATAAGGGAACAGATATTTCCATCACATATTTTACACGTTGGATTGTTATCAGATAATTTACAATTTGGTGGGACAGTCCCTAAGTATTTTAAATACAACATTGCTTTTAACTCTCAATGCAACAATAAAGGGTTGTTTAATTAATGAATTTATTGATTACAATTTACTAAAGATTCTCGTATTAACTCTATACTAAGGAAGACATGCGGTCAGATGCTCATTTTTAAGGTGGTCCTTAAATACTGAGTACAACTTAATATTGTCGCAAAATATTGTAATGAACAAACACCTTTATTTTTATTGTTTGAGTTTACTTCATGAGGCTTATGTTGAACATTTTATCACAAACAATAATAGATGACACATTGTCTTATTGGCCGAGTTAATAGTTTTATTGTTAACTTAAATTGAGATTTCATTATCGAAACACGTGTAAAAATATGCTAGTTATTTCTTTTTTTCAAAGTGAATGAGAGTGAGGACAATATACTTCTTATAAATGTTTTTGCAGAGGAAATCTGCGAGATTAAACGTTGTGTTTGGTGTAGAGACTAACTAAAACGAAATGTTTGTCAAATCAACAAAATAATATTCAGTCATTAGTCAAACAAAGATAATAAAAGAAGAATCTTATCGACGTAAGCTATAAAAATTTAAATCAGCAAATCTTATCAGTAGCGAGCTGTTTTTGATTATGATTTTTTATGATTTGTAACTGGAGTTGCGTATTACCAGTTTAACACAAACCTTATCGCTGTTTGAACAAGTTATGAATGCAATTTGCTTTACACCAATGTAAAGGTGTGTTTACACTGTCGAAACACGATCACGCCAGATTTAAATCGTAAATATGCCTCTGGGAATGTTTTCGTTTTACCCATCCTTATTGTTTTTATCTATTACAAGCTCTCGCCCGATACTCCGTCCGCGCGGAATTAAAAAACAAATGCAAGTAGCCTATCTGTTCTTCCAGACTATCCTCTATATCTATGCCAAATTTCATCGAAATCAGTTCTGCCGTTTAGACTACAAACTCTAACAAATATCCATCTATCTATCTAAACTTTTGCATTTATAATATTAGTATGATTTATAACATTTATATTAAAACAGATTAAACAGGACGATGTAATAAAAATATTTTTACTTACACCATTACTCCGTGTTTGTGTTCCGTTTGTATTCATTTTTCTAATGTTTTTTGACTTCTTAAATTATCATTAACTTCTAAGTTGATTTTTTACTTTAGACTGCTGACAAATCATTTTATCTGAAACAAAAAAATAAACTATAGAATTTTCAATGAAGAATATTCCTTACTAGCTGCTTGCAACTTCGCTTAAATAAAAAAATAATTTGAAACATAGCCTATGTTACTCACAGATAAATTACCTTTCTAATGGTGAATAAAATTTTCAAATCGTCCTATTAGTTTTTGCATGAATCAAATACATACAAATCTTTCCTCTTTATAATATTAGTACAGATATATTAGTAGATAATCGATTGGAAAAACAAAAAAAAAATGAAAATAGGTCATACCTTACCTTAAACATCTATTAAGTTTTGTTAGAACAATTCTTACACTACTCTTACACTCTAACAATAATTAAACCGACAATCAGAAATAAACAACCAAAATAACAGAAATCAACAATCAACAAATTAACGACCCAAATCAGAAATAACAGATTAATAATAGTTAGTAACTTTTCACTGATAAGGGAGAACGGAAACATGTCTTTTATAATTAAGAAAATTCTGATTTTCTCTTAATTTTGCTATTTCCAATTGTAAAACGCATTGCTTGTGATAAGATACCGCGTGCACTCACTTTACCCTATTGTGTTGTGCAAATTTACACATCGCATTCCCAATGGCAAGTAGCTAAAGTGTGGGATACTTAAATACTCATAAATTGACTAACTAATTACTATGATTGTAACCTTAAAACTATCAAAAACAATAAACGTTTTTTTTCTCCGATTTACAATAAAACTTAGCAATATTCATAATTAATACAAGAATATTGAACCACTTTCGACCAGGTATATCGATATCGCAATATTTTACTGACAATTAAAGCGTAAATCCTCGAATATTTTATCATTGTGTCATTAAAAATGCGATAAACTTATCAACGAAAATGTAAGTTATCTATCGGTATAAATACGTTTCATATTAATCATCTAAATTATCGCCCGCGACTCCATCCGCACGGTTTTAAAAAAATCAAATACGAGTACCCTATGTGTTCTTCCAGGCTATGCTCTACAGATATTCAAAATTTCATAAAATCCATTCAGCCGTTTAGTCTACAAACTAACAAACATCCATCTAAACATTCGCATTTATAATATTAGTAAGAAGTAAGATTATATCACTATAAAAAAAATATTTCTCTCAAAAAAGACTTACCGAGTCATGGAAAATAACTCAAAATTAATACCCCGTTTACAGATTAAATAAATTAATTTATTGCCGCGTAAACTATACAACTAGGATACAACAAAGAAAAGAAAATAATGCTGTATCTAGATACCTAATTTATTAAAAAACTAAAACAATAAACTGCAAAAGTGTAACATGTAAATTCACATAACATTTTGAATTAACGGAATATTTAACACAGTAACAGAGGGCAAGGACCTTTATCAACTAACGGTTAAATCGTAAAATTTGCGTAAAAGTGCTAAATGCTGAACTTTTTTGCTTGCGATATTCATTTTTTTCAGCAAAATATGTAAAAACGACGCAAATATTAACACATTCACTGCGTAACAGGCCGCGGTTGACACAGCACTTAAACTGGTGCGGAGGAAGAAAACTATGTCCCTTTCGGTAGTGCGAAACGATTATCTTAGGTGTAAAAATTACATTACATAAAATGTATATATTATGTTTCCACAAAGTTATAGCAATTTAATCTATCCTAGTAGGTCTAAAAAGGCCTGCCACGCACTGACGGAAATATCATTGGGGGCGCATTTTGGCCCCACCAGATGAAGAATTATGATTTTACTTGCCGCAGTAGACGTGTTAAATCGTGGACACAATAGAAAGAATCATTTGATATAAAACTTCGTCGCAATAACTATACCATAAAAAGATTAGTCACATGAAACACAATTTGTTTTTTCACAACTTAAATGGCTATACTTATATTTTTTAAATAAACATTTAGTTATTGTAAATTATTACCTACCATTATTTAATATTGCCAGGAAAGAATTCCTTCATTTCCAAAAAGAGTAAAAAAAACACGACCACAACTAGACTCGGAATTCTTTTTAACACGAATAACTACGCATGGAAGAACCGTTCACCGAAATGTTGAATATTGTACTGAGCCGTGATTCGTAATGATAAGATATTTTATTGATATTGATAAGAGAAAGGTTTATTTACGCGTCTTATCGCTTCAGGTTCAAAAAGCATACGATCATTCCTTCAGTCTTGATTAATTTCAGTTGTAGAAGGTAATCAGAAAGGGGTAAACCAACAAATAAATTTAGTTAAACATTTCCTAACGATTTTAAAGACATGAAGATTTGAAAATACTTTACAAGTCGTTGAATAAAGAGATTAAATAAAGTTGAATAAAGAAAAAATAAAGAGAAAACGATTTTATTTCCTACACTGCAATTACGAGAAAAAAGCAAGAGTTTAAAATAATTTTCTAATCCAAATTAACTGTTTTTAAGCCACTATTCACCAAACAAGTTGCAGTAACAGCACTTCAACTGAAATTCTCCAGTTTAATCGCGTTTATACAAGAAAAATCCATCTTGTATATGTATATATTATAATAAATCACAGCTTTCTATTATTATATTGAATAGTTTACCATTTTTATATAATATTTAATATAGTTTAACAAAATATTATGGTGATGTTTCAACAATAATCGGATACCAGATGCATTCAAATATATTCCCAATATATCTCAATTTCCTATCACATATAATATATGTATGTAAAGATAAACGTAATTACTTGACTTATCTCATATTAGTATTATAATTCAACTTTTTATCGGATCATATGATAATCCACAAGGACTTTTGGTAAAATGACTATCAAGGATTAGGCGAACGTTTTACATACCTCTTGCTTTTGTTCGAAGTTAGATCTTTTATCAATATAACCTCAATGCCTTCGCGGTGACCTTCATATATTGACCTCGTAACTCTAATGTCTCAAGTCCCTAGTTTGTATAGCAACGTATAAGGCGTGAATGTCGCAAGTAAAAGAAATGTAATCTACCCACGGAGAATGCAGGGTTCTCACAAACCAAAAGGTTTAAGAACCTAAAGTAAAAAATAAAGAGAATGTATTTAATGTATTTGGAATAAATAAATAAATAAAATTAATATTGTTGTGAACCATATCTTAATAAAACTATGCGTAAATTATTATCGGCAATTTGGGGTTAATTTTTGTTATAATATTAGGTGGCAAACGAGCAAGCGACCACCTAAATCCATCGAAAAGAAAAGCGACCGCTGCCCATAAACATCCGCAATTGCAGATGCGCTGCCTACCCTTAATTGACGGAGGAGACGCACATAAAGAAGACATTTCCCCTTCCCATGCGTCTCGTTCACCGTCAAATCCACTTTTCCTAGAAAGGAAAGGGAAAGAGACTAAAATTATGCCCCCGACACCACACTCATCGGACGACTTCCACTTTACGCCTGTTTTCTGTGTGGTCGTGGTATTACACCGGGCGAGCCGGTCCATTCGTGCGAAGATGTCAAAGCGGGCTCTACCACTTTGGAGTACTTAGTTAATATAAGTTCAGTCAGAAGTAATATTGTCAGTCCAAAGTCTCCAAAACATGCAGTAATTTAGGAATAGCAACAATCTTTGTCGTCCAGATAATTTAATACCACGAAACAATCAACTCTTTAACAGGCTTAATAAACAAAAGACGCCGCCAAAGATACTAAACTTTATTAACAAAAAAATACAAAGATGTACTCTAACCTTGATATTTAATTTCTTGAACCCACAACAAATAAACGATAATTATACGGTTAATTGACCAAGTTTGACGAGGTTTTTTAATTATGCAAGTTAAAGCATAGAATTATGAAATTAGTTACGTTTTATCTATCGTTTTGAAAACAAGTTAATTATATAACTTTAAAAACTACTAAACTGCATAAGAGCGGGCTATTTACGTTTACTTCCTATTATTTCGTGTTATAATTGCATTGTGAAAATATAAGGTGTCAGAACTTCGCTAAATAGAAATCCGTAATATTGAAAACAAATTTTATAGCTTTCAAGCCGGTTTTAGCGTTACCAGTGTTCTGGGTAAGATGTACTTACACGGCGTCCGTTTTATATGGTACCATACCTTGGAATGCCAAGTGTGAGAGTTACATACATATACGCAGACTTGTAGTACCCTCTATGTTTTCTTTCTAAGGAATTATTCATAGAATTTGTTTTATATGACAAGGAATTATCAAAACAAGTTATAATATCAAACACCAATCAGTATGTTGATTTGTTAATGTAAATTTAATATGACTAGTCTTTATCTGGCACTTCGTATTGTTAAACATGCAATATTTATTTATTTATCATCGATTGTTTGTTACGTTGCGACATTTTACAGAAGTAAACATATTCATGTATATCATATGTGATGGAGGCATGTAATCATTTAGATTATTCTAGATCTTAATTTGTTTCCATTAATATTATGACCAACTAGCTGTTGCCCGCGACTTCGACCACTAAATATTTAAAAAAAGTAGCCTGTAATATGCCCAACTGTCCCTTCAGCGTAAGTCCGGTCGAAATCGGCCCAGCCGTTTTGGAGGATGTCCGGTACAAACGCGGCTTGCGGACTGACAGACAAAAAAATCATCTTCCCGAAATCTGGATTTTTTTATATTACAGACACTCCAATTTTATTATATGTATAGATATCTTATTACAGAGAGTAACACTTGATATTTTAATAATTAAATCCTCGTAATGTTATCAATTACTGATTATAATGTTAGTTTCTAATGAAATTTCGTAAAAACAAATAAGGTTAAAAAATTGCGCATGTTAAAAGCAACCTTACGAGTTTAAAGCAATCCATAACGGCAGCTTCAGGTTATCCCACTAGGCTCTGCTTAAACTAGTCTGTGTATGGCGGCCCTTAACTTTATAAGGTCTTATGACCTTATTTACAGTAGAAATATAAATTGTATATCTAATGAAAGGTTTTCTGTAAAATGTATTGTGGTGCCGAGTTTAAATTGTAAACAACATTTATATTTACACAAGTTTAAATAAAGTTTGTTCAGTACAACAGAGTTTGTTTTTCTCGTACTTTGCGTACAATTTTTGTATCAACGTTTTTGTATTTTTTTTGTACGATTCATTATCTTTATCATTTTCCTTGTATTTGAATCAAAGAATCTTACATTAGCCACCATATCTCGTAAATTTGGTCAAACTTTGTATTAAACGTGTTGTTAATGAAATTGAGTTATGTAAAGAATACTTTACGTCAAACCACAATCTCAAAATCCTTACCCTTAACATACGAAGCATACAAAAAAACTTTGACTCATTCCTCGTAGCACTCACACGTTTGAATGTAACTCTCGATGTTCTCATTTTGACTGAATGTTGGCTGAATGATACCGCGATTATCCCACAAATACCAGGCTATAATTCGTTTAAAACGGAACGTAATTTAAATCAGAATAGTGGTGTCGTAGTCTACGTTTGTGATGTATGGAACTCGACAACCTCGGAGCCCAACATCGAGGATGCAAATTGTTTAGCGGTTAATATAGATAATGTAGTTACTATTTTCGCCATCTATCGCTCACCGTCATGTAAAATCATCGATAATTTTTTGTCTTCCATTGAAAATTCTATTAAAAATGGTAATGGAGTACCTTTGATCCTAGCTGGTGACCTAAACATTAATATATTGGATACATCCAGTCCTAGAACCATAGAATACCAATGCTTTCTTGCAGAGCATGGATTTGTACCGGCTATCACAAAACCTACCAGAGGGACGTCTTGTCTTGATCACATATTTATCACTGACGTACAACACAAACTAACCCCAGTAGGTATAATTTGCCAATCTGGCATAACTGATCATTTCCCTGTTATGGCTGGAATTAGTATTAATAAAGCGAACCTAAGTCGACCAGTCCGGACAATACTCAAAAGAGACTTCGCGAGTATAAAGAAAGACCTTTTAGAGAAAGACTGGAGTGATGTCACTACTAACACGAATATTCATGAAGCTGTGAAAGTTTTCACCGATGTTTTGATCACTACTTTAGAAAGGCACACATGTGAAGTCCGTTTAAGTAGAACTCAATACAACCTTAAGCCCTGGATTACACCAGGACTCATGCGCTGTATGAGACATCGTGACCGGCTTCATAATCGTGCAAAACAAGATCCAAATAATGAAATACTTCATGTTTCGTATAAAAGGTACCACAACTTTCTCGTGGGTCTCTTGCGTAA